CTAACGGACATTATATTTTTCATTTCTCCGATTAGGGGGGAGGGGGGACACGTTCACCCCCAACCCAACCCCGCACGAAAAAAACATACGTTTTTAAAAAAATAATAATATACTTTACTAGTGACTAGTGACTCCCCCACCCCCTAGGTGTTCCTCCCCCTGCCTGGCAGTTTCAAGTACCTCCTCCCCTGGGGTGGGGGTGGGCGGTCGGGTAGAGGGAATATCTGAAAGAAACCCAAAATGGGCATGCCTGTTTGACACCGCAGTTATCTTTCAGTAATGACTGCGGTCAATGAAATAAAGTTGTAATTAAATAAGGAAATTGTTAGGAAATTATTGGAGCCCAACCGCTGATCATTGTAGGCAAACGACGTAATCGATATTATAGATCTACCATCGGTTCGTTACTGGTTGCAATTAATGTTAAGTGTATGGAGGGTATGTGAGTGGGCGTGTGTGTGGGTTTGGTGATGGGTGGGGCTTGGGTGGTGTATGTGTGGGTCGGGTGATGGGTGGGGGTCGGGTATGGGTTGCGTGGTGTGTGTAGGGGGGGGTCGGGTGAAGGGTGTGAGTTGGTTGGTGTGTGGGGGTCGGGTGGTGTGCTCGGGAGGGGGGTCGGGTGATGGGTAGAGGTTGGATGGTGTGTGTGGGGGTCGGGTGATGGGTGAGGGTTAGGTGCTGTGGGGGTGGGGTCGGGTGATGGGTGTGAGTTGGGTGGAGTGTGGGGGTCGGGTGATGGGTGATGGGTGGGAGTTATGTGGTGTAGGGGTCGGGGTCGGGTGATGGGTGTGGGTTGGGTGGTGGGCATGTGGGTCGGGGTGGTGGATGGACCTGGTGGTGGGTGTTGGTGCGATACGGGTGGTGGGGCATGTGGGTCGGGGTGGTGGGGCATGTGGGTCGGGGTGTGGGGCATGTGAATCGTGACAACAGCCTTACAGACACGACATGAGTGTGTGTGTTGTTTCTGGTGTCACATGACCCGCGTGTCATCACGCCCCGAGGTCACGTGATGAAGCCCCTATTCGAAATCATGGAACCATAATGTTTACGTCATACACCATACACCCCGCTGTCTAACACTTCAACCGCATTTTGGGCGTATAGAATAAAATAAAACGGCTGATTTGGTTCGATCTGCTATTGGGGATCGCCGTTAATGATTTTGCAATCTTGAGCAGGGGGGTGGGGGGCAGATTTGTGGCAGATATGTGGTGGGGGTTTAAATAATCGGTGATAGTGACGTGATATGACTAACCACATACGCTTGTTCATACGTTTACAGCAGGGGTCTCCAAACTACGGCCCGCGGGCCGGATGCGGCCCGCGAAGTCCTCTCATGATGTCTCATCCGGCCCGCGTAGATCTTTTTCTCCAAGGAAAAATCGTTTGTTGGTGATGGCTGAGGAAGTTTGCCCAGAAAAATCGTAGACATGCCTGGAAGAAACTGGCCCACGAACTGAAATTTGATAGTTAATGCGGCCCTCGGACTGAAAAGTTTGGAGACCCCTGGTTTACAGTGTAGTAAAAAAAATGTCAATAATAATCTTATAACGATCACCAGTACATTTAATATATCGACTAAGTCTCGCATATCATTAGAAACGTGTTACAAAATTGATCAAATAAAAAAAAATTTTATTGTTAATAGAACTAAGACAGCAGGGGTGGACTAGCCCGCCGTTCTAGCGGGTAAAATCCAGGTGGGCCCCCAGTAAAATATATCGGTGGGCCCCTGGAAAATTTCTCGGTGGGCCCCCAGGAAAATATCTCGGTGGGCCCCCAGGAATGGTCTTGTAATTGTCCTGTTAGTGATGATTTTTGTTATTGGTATCTTACTATTTCTTCATTCCAAGGCTTAAAATTCAGGATCTGATGGGGAAAAAAAGCACAATGAAAATTTCGATCTGGGGTGTGGGTGCCCTTTTAAATTTTCCCGGGCCCCTCGGACACATCGATTCAGTGTTTCATACAGACATTTCTGCGGGGAGGCACTTGAATATCTCGGGGGAAGGGGGGGTGGACTAAAATTTACGGGGGAGACGACGACGACACACACTGTTGAAAGTAAATATTTACTATATAAATTCCAGTTCGTCCGGAGGGGGGGGGGGGTAGATTTTCTTCGGGGGGGGGGGGGGGGGCTCCCGAAGAGATGCCTGGAAGAAACTCTGCATTGATTCCATCCCCAGTAAGACAGTCCTGCACACAAGTGATACGCACACTATGTGATCTCATTATTCTGATCTGCATACAGATTCTAGTTTACGACTTAACGATAAATGTCATTGTTCGTTAAACAACATGAAAGCAATAGCAGGTGGGAACATTCATTCACGCCATTTAAAGCAGACCGCTTCACAAAGCAAAAAACTGGACAAAATAGTTTTCTTTTTTTTTTTTTAATGTTACACTTTTGAATCTGACGGTCCTTGTCCGTAAACCAAAACAAAAAAAAAAGCCGTAAATTTTAAAAGTTTAGCTTGAAATATTACAATCTGGCAACTCATAAGATCACTGCTGTAGTAGAGCCAGCGACCAGCGCGCGCAGGTCACCACATGCGTGCCAGCGGTGCGCGCCAAACGTGATGTTGAATGTGTTGGTATAGAAACAAAAATGTCGGCTCCTTCACGTGATAATCTTGTGACCTTACGGCGGCGGTGTCGAGGTTTCTTCGTCATCCCTATTGTATTTTACCCCGGGGGGACAGGGGTGCTAGGGAGAATTACGTACACTACTATGTAGCTAAAGTTTCAAAGCGTAAGTTAAGAACAAAAATACCTTCCAACGCATGACTGATTTTCTTTTTAAAATATATAATGTAGGCAAGCAGGCCTATTCAACCCCCCCCCCCCTCACTACACACACATTTTCTCTTCAAAATGTGCACGTAGTTCCCCTGCACAGTCCGCAATCGTGCTAGGCTAACATGGCTAAATAAATGCAGACAGACACGCTTTATTCGTTGGTTATGAAAAGCAGTTACTTCGAGAAAAAGATTTAGTTCCCTTGCACATTAAAAAAAATAAACTGAATTTAAAATAGGTACCTGTCGAATACTACACGGAGATTTTTTAAAAAGCTTTTAAAAATTGTCTTTCATGTGATCATAGCCCGTTCGGTGGCTTATTTGAAAGTGAATTACAAAATGTCTATACGAGTGACTCAAAAGATTGCTTTTTCGTTTGCCGTAACTCTTGAATCAAAATGCAAAAAAGGTGAAAATAAATAGGTTTCTAGCTTAGGTACCGAAATATTGCGTACGATTTTAAAAAAATCAATTGCAACTCTAAATCATAGGCGAAGAGGTGAGGTGTTAAATTTGTTATGTCTGTAATCATTATTGTAGGTTTAGAGTAGACTGCCCTTTGTTTATATGTTAACCACTAAAGAATAGTCTGTTTCTTTTGTGTGAAGCATGAACTATGTGCGCAAACTTTTGTAGCGAAGAAACTAAAGGGGGAAGTGGCATATTCGGTAGGTTGGAAATAAAAAGGTTAATATAAGGGAGGTACGGGGTATATTACTACATTGCTAGTCTAGTGTGCATGGTATAACCATCATGTTTTCATGTCCGTTCCCAAAATATATGGGGCAAACGAAGTAGAGTTCATCTGTTTCAGAGACCTCTGCATATGAAGAGATGATGTGGTCAGCACTATGCCCAGCCGTCTTTGCTTTCCCTGACATAAGTTAGGTACCCATCAGAGCTGGGTGGACTCAGGGACGATCTTCTGACTTGAAACACACTCGCAACTTTCAGGATAGTGGTCAAGCTCTCTACCGCTAGGCCACGCCGTCCCATGCATCACATAATGTGATCATCAAAACAAGAATGTGTCCACGGACTGAATGTGTTGCATGTTGCAGTTGGTCCCAGCTGGAGTTGATCTTCACAGGTTGTAATAAATGACGTCATCGACGGTCCATGCCTGTAGCTCACTAAAAGTGTGGGGGGATGGGGGGATAATCTGAGAAGATCACTTAAACTATAGTATAGATAATACGAGAGTTTCAACAGTGTTGGATGGTTATTGCTGATCGTTTCTGTTGGACTTGCAAATAAGGCTTTATCACCCCCCACACACACACACACACATAGGTGTGACAGGAACGTGTGACTGGCTAATCCCTTTAACCGTTAGCCTGGTCACAGAGCCAAGTAAGATGGGTAGGTTTATAAGGTGGGTGAGTACACACAACACTACCAGATTTACGGTCACGTGATGTCTGCATTGTAGGTCTCGTGAGGGCTAACGGCAGAGGCGTAGCGATGGGGGGAGGGGTACATATGTCCCTGGGCGCCGACTCTAGGGGCGCCAAAATGGGTTGGGAAAAAAATTAAAAGCTCATTTTAGCTTTAGTTTTCAATTATAAATATAAATAATATATGGTGGGGCGCCAAATTGAAAGTTTGTACCTGGGCGCCGGGAGGGGTCGCTACACCTCTGGGCTAACGTCCTAATTCCAGAACACCTACACGACACAACGATATAGCGTCGTTATCTCTAATTGGCATTAAGTAGGTAATTGAGAAACGGATGGTAACGAAAGTATTACTTCCTGAGTTAAGTAGATTGTATTGTTATAAAAAGATACACTAGCATCCATATTACCTGAACGTTGGACTAGTTATTCTAGCAGAAGATTGTTGTGGGTTTTTTTATATATATATATATATATATATATATATATATATATATATATATATATATATATATATATATATATATATATATATATATATATATATATTCAGGTTTTGATAAACAATTTTAACAAAACAAAATAGCTAAAGATATGGATCGGTAGTTTAAAATAGGAAAATTGCTATAATGGTTAATGTTACCAGTAAGAATGGAAACGTAAACAAACGTAGTACATAATATAGATTATCCCCCTTTACCTACATTCCCCCCAAACACCGCAACACACTAAAAGCTCCAGCGTAAAATGTAAACAATGAAACCGTTCACTGAATGGCAACAATAAATGAACATACCTGAAGCACAGTCCCCTCGCGACACACCTTTATCTGCTCAAAGGGAGGAACAAACACACACAAAACAATAGAGGTGTGTAACAATAGTTGTGTGAATATCCAACACTATCAACAAGCGGCCGACCTCACGTGAGCTGCGAATGTTGTTATGCGCGATTCGCTTCAGTGACATGTGCTAATGCCGCGGCTTTAGTGGGGCACGCTGCGCCGGCAGGTTGCGCGGTGTATCGTCTCCGCTGGCTCGCTGCGTGCGGACGACACGATGCAGCTCTATTTATAGCTGGCGATAATTTAGAGTATCGATACTGAAAAGGTTGGGTTTCTTTGAAATTTCGGTTTTGCGTATTTTAAATATTGCAACGTAGTCATTCTCAAATGGACTTTTAAAGCATACACACAATAAAGTGAAAATACAATGGTTTAAAATACGTAAAGTATACCCCAACAATACTAAACGCATAAGTACATTAGGTCTATACCTGACTTATTGTTGTCCACATTTGGCGTCATATTGTAAGGTGACTTAAGTGCCAATGTGTGACAAGAAGAGGGGGAGTGTGCAGAAAGTGTGAACCTATATATATATATATATATATATATATATATATATATATATATATATATATATATATATATATATATATATATATATATATATATATGTATATATATATATATATAGTTATTTTTTGCTGTTGTAAATTGGGGGGGGGGGGGTAAATAAGATTTGTAAATTGTAATTAAATATACCAGTCCTATAATAGGGTTGGACTGGCTATGTCCGAGAGGTCCGGGAAATGTTAAAAGACGCCCACAACTCCAGATTAAAATTTTCATTGTGCATTTTTTCCCCCATCATAGCCTCATGATCACGCTCAGCTTGACGGAAACTATCGCGACAATTTTTTTAAAGCACTAATAGGCCTAGACCAGCACCGTTACGGGGGGGGGGGGGACTTCTTGCCAAAGGGGGGACCCACATGGGGTTTTTCAGGGATAGCCCACCCCTGCTTAAGTTCCAACTCTCATTTTAAAATGACGATGGGAGAAGGGGGGGGGAATCATCGGAATGGCGTCACGTTATTGAAGGAAGAATCCTCATGGGCCCATCCTTTCATCAGCCCTTTAGGGGCAGTCCATAGAGACAACACGTTTTGTAAAAATATATTTGCCTTCCCCCCCCCCCAATGATCCCTCCTTCTCGATATAATAACCTCCCTACAGTCTACCACTCTGACACCCCCCACCCCACCCCACCCCCCCACCCCACACACACACACACACACACACACACACACACACACACACACACAAATTGCAATTTTTGTTTTCAAAAAAAATTATCTTTAAATGACATATTTTTTAAAATAAAATTTAAAACAAAAAAGCAAAACTATGACGCCTCACTTTCTGAAACCTTCATTACCAAGCATCATTACCCCCCCCCCCCCCCACCACACACACACACAAATCCGAAAATAAACAACCCCTTTCTTCTATAAAGCAAATGGACGAAATGAAAAATATTCAAAATAATTAACTTTTAAAAATTCATCCATGATTGAAGTTTGCAGTTCATGTTATAAGACCACTAATTATTCGGATCTGCAAAGTTGTGCATCGCTACACACGGCACTCCGCATATTTTTTTTTAGAAAACTGTCTCATTAGCGGTCAAATGTGTCAAACAAAAAAAAATATTAATTGAATTAATTATTATAATTTTTTAATCTTAAATTTAATATTTTAAGAAAAAAGAAGAAACAGTCTATTAATATTTGTCGGTGCTAATGAGATGTATGCTCATTACTGAGTCCAGTTCATACGTCAAAGCTAAATCATTTTCCCATCATAGCCAGTATAGCGGTCAAATATTGCAAACAGAAAAAAATTAATTGAATTAATTATTATTCATATTGTTTAACCAAAATTAATATTTTAAGGAAAAAGAAACAATTTATTTATATATGTCGGTACAACTAGTGAGATGTGTGTCTTGTTCATACCTCAAACCAAATCAGTTTCCCGTCATGGATAGATGGATGTGGATGGGACCGGAAAGTGAACTCGGGATTTTAACAGGAACCCACGTTAGGATCACTTGTTGCATATTGTATCACTTCCTCTCCTCCCACCCCTACATTAACCCCCCCCCCACACACACACACACACACACACATACACACACCATTCCCTTAAAGTGGGGTACTTGAGACTTTTGGAATAGTGCACTTTAAATAAATTTCCAAGTGGATGGCGGGTGGGGGTGGGCTTGGTTAAAGTATGTATATATATATATATATATATATATATATATATATATATATATATATATATATATATATTGTATTTTTCTTTCTTGTCCGGTAAAGGACGTGCTCCAATGGTAGAGGGGGGGAGGGGGGTTTAGTGCCCCACCGAAAAGATGCCTAAAACAAACCCTGTATTTTTTTTCTGAGATTATCGGTTTTTTTTTCTCCTAGTAATCGGTTGGTTACAAAACAACCAGATGCACACAATAATCCTGTTGGTCGAGTATCGATACCATCCAGAAAAAGCTCACCGGCTGCTGCGATACACGAGTGAACCTTTATTGCGATCATCAGTGTAGACACCATATTTACTGCATTAGTAAAAAGGTAGTATCGATATTCTGTCAAAGAAAATATATTAAATCTTTTTTTTTTCAAAATTGTTTTTTTTTAAAGAATGACATAAGTGATATACGGCATTGAACAGGTCGCGAAAAATATGTGGATTTCATATCACATTCCATGGGACGCGTGGCCTAGCGGTAGAGCGCTTGACTCGAGTTCGATGCCGGGTTCAAGTCGGTAGAACGTTATGATGGGTACTTAATTCAAGTTAGGGAAAGTAATAGCAGCTGGGCATAGTGCTGACCACACGTATCTCTTCGTATGCCGAGGTCTCTGAAACAGGTCGTCCGTAAATGACGTCATACTCGTAGGGTGGAGGGGGGGGGGGGGGTAGGGGTTGATGGTCTGAAGTCTCATTTTTGCATTATAAAAAAGCAATATTAGAAAACGAATTTTAGCAGGGTTTTTTTTTGCGTTTTAGAAAACTGTTTTATTAAATTATTAGATAAATTAATTAAAATAGTCTATGTTGACAGAGTTCAGACAAGATTATATATATATATATATATATATATATATATATATATATATATATATATATATATATATATATATATATATGTGTGTGTGTGTATGTGTGTATGTATGTATATGTATGTAGGGAAAGGGAAAGCATTAAACCCCAAGACAGCATCCTGCCTACGCTACTGTTCAAGTGTAATGGAAGACTTGACTGGCATAGAGAGCCACCCAAATGGAACGGCCTACAGCACCGCTGGCCTGGGGGAGAGCTACATCTACCCACCTGTTGGGGTATACCAGGTACAAACCTGACCTACATCTAACCCACTATGTTGTACAAACCTGACCTACATCTAACCCACTATGTTGTACAAACCTGACCTACATCTAACCCACTATGTTGTACAAACCTGACCTACATCTAACCCACTATGTTGTACAAACCTGACCTACATCTACTTACCTGTTGTACAAACCTGACCTACCTACATCTACCCACCTGTTGTACAAACCTGACCTACATCTACCCACCTGTTGTACAAACCTGACCTACATCTACCCACCTGTAGTGATTTACCAGGTACAAACCTGACCTACATCTACCCACCTCTTGTACAAACCTGACCTACATCTACCCACCTGTTGTACAAACCTGACCTACATCTACCCGCCTGTGTTGTACAAACCTGACCTACATCTACCCACCTGTTGTACAAACCTGACCTACTTCTACCCGCCTGTTGGGAAATACCAGGTACAAACCTGACCTACATCTACCCGCCTGTTGTACAAACCTGACCTACATCTACCCACCTGTTGTACAAACCTGACCTACATCTACCCACCTGTTGTACAAACCTGACCAACATCTACCCACCTGTTGTACAAACCTGACTTACATCTACCCACCTGTTGTACAAACCTGACCTACATCTACCCGCCTGTCACGCTACACTGGGTACAAAACGAATCTACATCTATTTGGCTGTTGTGCTGTAATGTAACACTATAAGCTGCATACCTCAACAATAGACGACTTGGTGAACTATACGTTTATCATCCTTGACCTCATTTTTTAAGTTTGTGTATTTATGGCTTCACTTGTGGCTTGGGGATTATAACTCAGACGAGATTATCTCTGTTAATCCGATTAACGGATTTTTTTTTAAATCGTGAAAAAGTTCAATTTCAAAACTCGAATTCATTATTTTTAAGGGGTCATCCATTTATGACGTCCACACAGGTGGGGGGGGGGGGGGGGGTCCGAAAAAATTAACTTTTGTGGACGCGTGTGGACTAGTGGAGGGGGGGGGGGGGGTTCGGTCAATGTGAACGTCCACTTTCAAAATTAAACCACAAAATACTTACATTTGATAATTTAAAAATAATTTTTTAAATGATAGAAAATGTAGATTATACATTAAATCCACAGTTCTCGTGGTAAATGTATCAGAAATGTAGCTGTTTACCGCCCAAGAAAAAAGCTTTTTTCTTTTACAAGCGGAAGGGGATGGGGCAGTGACAGCGGCAATTTTCTAAAACAATTCGTGGTATTTCAAGTTTATTTTTTAACATTCAAACAACTGTAACTAAATCATAGTAGGCCTACATCTTTATTTTGTGTCAAAGCCGAAGATGATATAGATCTAGTCACTTTTTCAAAGTAACCACGTTACAATTAGATATTGAAATATCAGCGCGTGTATAATGTGCTCGCTTGTTCAGGTGTGTAGGGTTAACTGTCAGCGCGACCACACAAACATAGGGGAGAGGTGGTTTGTTATGGAAACACATGCAGCGTAAAGTTGAGTAAAAGTAATATAATGAAATCACGTTGATTACCCGAATTTACCCGAACCCATATAGTCGTTGATAGCTAGAAAGCCACACATGACGATAAAAAGTTCGGTTTAAAGTAAAAAAGTTCAATATAAAAAAAACTATGACTGCCTGCAATCTCTGACTATGAAAAATGGTGGGTAAAAAAACCTTTAAAATCGTGAGGCAGCTTTCACAGCGTCCATGAGCGATCACTCTTCAATAAAGAACAATTTTAGATTGT